CGCCATGACACCACTTAGGCGGGACCACTGGCGTGGTGGGTGCATGACTTGACTGGCAGAGGCTGTGTATGCCGCATGCCGAGTCCAAGTAACCGACTCCGACCCCAGGCCCAAAGTCGCCCCGAAGGGAAACAAGAGCACTGAGAGAGCCTGACTCCCTAGGCCGCTAAACCCACTAGGATAGTCTGGTTACTCCCGCATATAGACCGGGCCGGGGCGGATGATCGGCCCACTAACTCCGGCTCGCCACAACACCATTTAGCTACTCTACGAAAACGCAGAGCACCCAGGAGTACCACGAAGAGGTAGATGTGTGACTTGGATGTGAGAGGCTAGGGACCTAGAGGTCTATATTCGCATCACAATCCCAAACTATTTCTCCAACCTGCATTCAATGTGCCAGGCTTTCGTATACGCAAGTCCGCTCGCGGCGTATTGCTTTCGCAAACACAAGACCGCTCGCGGCGTGCTGCTTTCGCAAACACAAGTCCGCTCGCGGCGTGTCGCTTTCGCAAACACAAGACCGCTCGCGGCGTGTTGCTTTCGCAAACACAAGTCCGCTCGCGGCGTGTCGCTTTCGCAAACGTTAAGCCCGCTCGCGGCGTGTTGCTTCGCACGACGTGGCGCACACAGCCGTTCGCGCGCTAAAGCCCGCTCCCGGCGTGTTGCTTCACACGACGTTAAGAGAGTCATAGTTACTCCCTTAAGAGAGTCATAGTTGCAACCGTATCAAAAATCTGGGGGGTGGTTAGCCCTTCAGTAATACCGGGATGTCGTGCGGCTACTTCGCGCGAGTACTTCCCTTCGCTAGAATCGGGGTCCAAACTTGGGATTTCCCCCTTACAGAGTACATACCCAAAGATTACGTATACCAGGACCATCAGATCCTTCAGACATAGGCGAATGGCCGTGCGCGCCACGTCATGCGAAAGCAACACCCCGCGAGCGGACTTTAACGTTTGCGAAAGTAACACGCCGCCAGCGAATTTTAACGTGTACGAAAGCAACACACTGCAAGCAGATTTTAACGCACGACCGGCCGTGCGTGCCACGTCGTGCGAAAGCAATACGCTGCGAGCGGACTTTAACATGTGTGAAAGCGACACGCCGCGAACGGATTTTAACGCACGAATGACCGTACACGCCACGTCGTACGAAAGCAACACGCCGCGCGCTTTATCATGCGATTACATCGGAAGTACCACTGAGAGCGAAAGCAATACGCCGGGAGCGGACTTTGAACTGTGCGAAAGTGGCATGCTGCTCACGGATTTATGTAGTGCTTGTCCGCCGGAGACACAATTAACGCATTAATCATTTTGTTACTCCAGTTTCATAGTGGTAAATATTTAAAATATCAACACTTTTATAATTGCATAGTAAAATATAACATTACAATATAAATATTATGTGTTTCGTTATATGAGCTTAAAAGTTAACGCAATTTTAATAACTTACAATTTTGTATCTTATAATACAGAAGCAATAGAAGCATTCGCACGAAATGTTCCAATGCGTGTCCCGTTACTAGAGGCACCATCCATGCATGAATGTTTTAGAAATAAAGATATATATATATATATACAGACCGCGACAATGCTTTATCCACAAACCAAGCCAGATATCAATGACGAATGTCAGTTTATTTATTAATACGACAGTTATTTAATGCGTTGCCTGTCTGTCGAAGGTATCGCCGAGAACGAAAGCAACACGCAGCGCGCGAGCTTATGTAGTGCCTGTTCGCAGGAGGCGCGATTAACGTATTAATCATTCTTGTGCTATAGTTTTATAATCATGTGTAACGGAACATATGTAAAAGCTCCATTACTAGCGCACGGTCCACTCCATTCGGAGCCGTCCGAACATTCCTGACTCCAATCGAGCGAACGCACGCGCGCTGCTGATCTGTCACGCACCGACGGCATGACAGATCAGCTGTTTTTAAACTATATTAACAAATCGCGTGTTGACGCGTTAGCACACAGGTATATAATAGATATATAAACCCGGCGATTTTTGCGGAAAAGAATCAGACTTGTCCGATCATCCAACTCGTTTGCTTCCGATCCGATATGAACAACGCAAGAATATTCTCGCACCGAGCGTTCTCAGTATTCACGTTCTATCCTTTCACGAAAAATCGGAGTGTTCTCGGGTTTTACTCCTGCAGGATATCGGGCGCTTGCGGTATCCTTATCTCCTCTCCCGTGAAGAGTGGAGTCGGAGCGATCTCGGACCTTTTCTTTAACATACGCGAAAATACATGTCGCGAAAGCGTCTGCGGTTGCTTAACAACCCGTGCGTCCAAACCTGTTTGACAACACGCGGGCCCGGTTGCCTAGCAACGCGTTGCGTACCCGATCCACGCGCTATTCCGCGAATATACTGCGTCGCATTCACTGCCCGACTGCGCCGCGAAAATCTCAAATACAACGAATACAGCGAATATTATCAAAGGCTACTCGAACGACGTGGCACTATAGAGATACTTTGTATTCACTAAACTATCAACTTTTAAATTAAAGTAAATCTAATTATTTTATTGTAAATTCAACCCAGGCGTGCATGGCCGTTCTTAGTTGGTGGAGCGATTTGTCTGGTTAATTCCGATAACGAACGAGACTCTAGCCTGCTAAATAGGCGTACCTTATGGTATCGCGAAGGCCCCCGGCTTCGGCTTTTTACTACCAACGTACAAACAAATCTTCTTAGAGAGACAGGTGGCTTTTAACCGCACGAAATTGAGGAATAATAAGTCTGTGATGCCTTTAGATGTTCTGGGTCACACGCGCGCTACACTCAAGGAATCGGGAGCATCACGTTTGACCACATTAATATTGACCACAGTCCCAATTGACCACGTTGCGATTGACCACGTTGCAATTGACCACGTTGATATTGATTACGTTGCAATTAACCACCGTCCTGATTAACCATCGTCCCGATTGTCCATAGTCCCGATTGATCACGGTTCGATAATCATTATTCCGATTGACCACAGTCCCGATTGACCGTTTTGAAATTGATAATATTTAATGTACTCTTCTTATCACTGCGTTTAATAGCTATTTTTATTTTATATCAAATAATATATGTAATCTACTGCAGTACGCGAGATATTCGTTCTTCTAACTCTTCCGAATTTTACATATTGCAATCATACATAATAATTAACCTTAAATCTTGATAATATGTAAAGAAAGATTAGAGGCTTTTTAGAAGTTATGAAATATATCAGATGCATTATATAATTGTCATTATGTCTGTATTATTAAAACAATTAATAAGTTAACCAAAATTTTGTATGAATATATATATATATTGTATATATTGTCGCGAGCGCCAAGAACGCAATCGCGCCCACCGCTGACGAAGCGAATTGCGACAAGCGACACCTCATCCGACGATTATTATTTTGTTAAGCGATAGTGACCGCCAAACTGCAGTACTAATCGCGTATTTACTTTTGTAATCGCTCCACGTGAAGCAATCGCTAACCGAGTTGCGCGGCTCTTACGCGGAAAGCCGCCGCGCGACCCAGAAATATTCCGCGAACGCTGACGAACCTTTCGATTACGCTGCAAAGACTGGTCGCCTGAAACGGGATAAAAACGGGAGACCGGTACGAGAACGGGGACTCATTGAGATTTGTCTTGCCGTCACATCTGTCGCGGTTCAAATTAAGAAGGACAACCTGTGTCATTTTAATAAAATTTATTGACAAGCAAATAAAGTGTTGAGTGCTTCCATCATGACGACTCCCTGGTCGACCCCCGAAACAACTCGCACAACATTTCTGGTAGCAGCGGTGGGATCGTTTCGTAGCAGCATCCAGTCATCTGGAAAAGGCAAACGACCGAAATTCAAGGAGAAGATCGGAAAGGAGGCTGACATCCCTGCGGTGAGGAAGAGCCGGTAGAGCGACAACGCCGAGCGTATCAGTGAACCGGAGAAGCAGCGACCTACCGCAACAGCCAGCGCTACGTCACCAATATGCGAATTGCGTAAGTTATAGAAGATTAAGGCGAGCGCATTAGATATCGAGAGAAGCGATTAAGTAGATATCGAACGAGGGAGCTAATCAGACTCCCACCCAAAGAAACACATCGTGACTACACAGCGAGTCAGCCAACCAAGCGCTCAGCCCGAGCCTCCCGAGCCTCGAGCGGACAAAAAATTCACGCAATCCGCGCGATAACGTACACCACGTGTTGTACCCCGAATGGGATACAACGTTAATTTTAGAGATAGTCGGGTTCGTTAAGCCTAAGGAGTTGGGAGTTGGCTCCTCCGAGCAGGATCAAAAGAATGGAAGGAAATCTTCTTGAAATCACTAACACACTTTCTTTATGTTACTTGGTTTATTTAACAATTGCACAATTTCTTGGATTTAGTATTGCTTATTTTATTTCTTTCACACACGGTTAAACGTCGGCGGGCGCGTATCGCGTTACTCTGGCGGCCGTCGACCGAATATGTCACCTGAGACGTTGATAGTACGGCTCGCGTGAACTTCGCTGTGCTCGTGTATTATCTTGCGCGATAATTATAATAACGATTCCGAACGACACGTTATGCTTGATTGATTCCCGACTCTATCTATTCCGTCTTGTGTAACCGGTTATATAGTCTGATCGATGCCCGATCAGCATTCTGATCGATTGCGTCGATCGGTTGCGTGATATTGATTAATCAATATTACGCTCGGTTTGATCATCAAGTTTAGGAATTTGCTGATAGGCTTTTTCGCAATGTTCTCGCGATGCATTTCTGCGGTCTTTCGAAAGACTGGTCGCAATTTCGGCGGTCACACGTTTATGTCATCTTTCGAAAGACTTTTCGAGATTCATGCGACCTAATTTTGTTGCCATGCGGACTACTTTTATTATTGGTTGTAGACCTGGCTACAACATCCCCCCTCCTGTTATTAAAAGAAAACGGAGGTACGAAGTTTTCGCTTTTTACATAATTTTTTGTTTTTTCCGATACATTTTTTGGTATAATCGTTTGCTTAGAATCGAATACTTTCGCTTATTCTAACGGCGCGATCTACATTGCGTGAG